ACCAGCTTGGCCATGCACTTCCTTCAACTTATCTAAAGCCAGGTTTTTACATGGATTATAATAACTATTTCCTGTCCTCTCCTCCATAACCCCACAGAAATATATTCCTGGTCTTTCCCCTGTTCCCAGCACCCCATGTTGTATTCCTTGTTTGATAAATGTTGCACACCCTCCACCATTCCCTTCTTCCCTATCAAGACGTACTACATTATATCCCTGTAAAACATAATCCAAACAACATTTAAACCAAGTTTCCTGAACACAAACTACATCTGGTTTTATATAACATTCCTCAATAAAACGCTTGAATGCCTGACCATTAGCTATCAGAGATCTAGCACTCCAATGAAAAACCTTCACAGATATGTATTACCCATTTGTATCCTGATTTGACCTTATCTGAAGTCCAGGAGACAGAGGCATTTATTCACGAATCTATGCTAATTATCAAAGAGATGTGGACGCTTCTGATTGCGTGTTTTCACAGACTGAACCCATAAACCCGTGTGTGATTGGACAACTTGAAGTATCACGAGCGGAACGAGGGCCAATCACAGGCGGTGACATGATAGCCCCGCCCAGTGTTTGAACGCCCACCTAACGGTTTTCTTTGTTTCAATTCCCGCTCTTTTTGTTAGTTATATTCTATACAAACAAATCCATTTTAAATATCACACAGAATAAATATGTGTAATTTTTATATATATATATATAAACGTATAAACCCACTGAGCTCATTTGGAGAAAGGCGAGCAATACCAATTAGACACTTTATTATCTTGTCGTTCTGCTAATTTAACTTCTCAAACTAATTTATAAACCACTTTAATTCAACAGAAGGCTAAACGAGCAAAAGGATATGCAGTGCAAGAAAGAAAAAACAAATTCTCATTGTGTGCGCCTCTGACAGCAGTATATAACTCTACGCGAGCTCTAAATTTGAGAATCAGAATAAGTCAGAATGAGAAAGACCTTTATTGCCTGATGTTTAAACACACGATACATTTGTTTTGGTGACCAAAGCTTCAACAGCACGAAGGGAACGACACTGATGAGAAATAAACACAGCATTAAACTTCAGTTTTCAAAAGAAGTCAATCCACATGTAGCTTGATGGTAATTTTCACTTCAACATCGTCTCTTTCTGTGAGCGCGTGTGTGGCTCTTAAAAGAGCCGTTGGGTTCGCGCTGGAAGGCGGTTATCCTCCGAAGCCGTACAAGGTGCGTCCCTGGCGCTTCAGCGCGTACACCACGTCCATGGCGGTGACGGTCTTTCTCTTGGCGTGCTCGGTGTAGGTGACGGCGTCGCGGATCACGTTCTCCAGGAACACCTTCAGCACACCGCGGGTCTCCTCGTAGATCAGCCCGGAGATGCGCTTGACGCCGCCGCGGCGCGCCAGACGACGGATAGCGGGTTTGGTGATGCCCTGGATGTTATCCCGCAGCACTTTACGGTGCCGCTTAGCGCCGCCTTTCCCGAGTCCTTTCCCGCCTTTGCCTCTTCCAGACATGCTGCAGATGCTGCTCGCTTCAGTCCGGCGACGAACACGAATAACACACGAGAGCTCCAGGAGGCCGTTTACAGCTGCTTACAGGACCTAAGGGAAACCAGCGCGCGTCACACGGCGCCCCTCCCCCGCTAGCTAGAGCAGGACACAATGAGGTTTCATCCAAACCTGATCTAACGATGTCTGTCCCGTGTTTCATATTAAAACCCATGTTTAAAACATCAGTCTGACACAGATTTATAAGATCACCTGCATCATGTTTACATGTATGAAGCACAGATCAAACCCCGCCGGCTGAGAAGCTGCTGCAGTGTTTTTCTGAACTTGTGGAAGGTTTTCAATCAAACAATAATCTGAAGAATCCTGCCTGAAGTATAATATTTGAAGCTTGAGCTAAGAACAGTCTAATCTACTGTAAATTGCAACATTGCAGACTTTAGTTGTACTTTGTGGAGGTTTTGTCTTCAGGAGATCTCTGGGCCGAACAGGCCGTGCTGCTCAAACCACACAAACAGCAGCAGAGGAATACGTCTGAACTGCTGCAGCAGCAAGAATAAGTTCAATTATTGATGAATTAAAATGATCTTCAGTCTTAACTTTTATAAAGAATATCTCTTTGGATTTGAGACTTTAGTCTTCGCAAATTTACAGATCTTCTTTATGCACCAAGAGCTTGTAACACTCCAAAGAAAAAGGAACAATTGAAATCGCATCATATGACCCCTTTAATGTTTCTAGTAATAATGAGGGATTCATAAAACGCAGAATAAAAACTTAAAATTCACTAAACATTCGAGGGCAACCTTACATTCCATGTTGTATATTCAGCGTTCCAGCAGAAGCTCTCTGGTTCAGTGTGATTGTGTGGCTCTGAAAAGAGCCTTTGGGGGTCCTGCGCTGCTGCAGCGGCGGGTTAAGCGCGCTCTCCGCGGATGCGGCGGGCCAGCTGGATGTCTTTGGGCATGATGGTGACTCTCTTGGCGTGGATGGCGCACAGGTTGGTGTCCTCAAACAGACCGACCAGATAAGCCTCGCTGGCCTCCTGCAGGGCCATGACAGCGGAGCTCTGGAAGCGCAGGTCCGTCTTGAAGTCCTGAGCGATCTCTCGCACCAGACGCTGGAAAGGCAGTTTGCGGATCAGCAGCTCGGTGGACTTCTGATAGCGGCGGATCTCTCGGAGAGCCACGGTCCCGGGCCTGTAACGGTGGGGCTTCTTGACGCCGCCGGTGGCCGGGGCGCTCTTCCGGGCGGCTTTAGTAGCGAGCTGCTTCCTCGGGGCTTTGCCGCCGGTGGACTTACGAGCCGTCTGCTTGGTTCTTGCCATCGCTGAGATCTACTTCTGTCTCTGCTCTGCGTGAGTAGAATATGCAGCTCTGTGTTACGCGTCTGTTTTTAAAGCATCTTACAGCCACAGCTTAAGACGTCATAAAGGCGCAGAGGCTTGTGATTGGCTGATGTGTGACGTCTGAGCTTGACTGCTAGCCAATGACTGCGCGTCTCCTGTTTTCAAACGGAGCTGGTGGTGTTTCCCGCTCAAATTGCTTTGTTCTTGTTTAGTACTTCACGCTAACACACCGATTTCGGCTTCATACTCGCGTTGTTTTATTCCACAGCTCTGAACTATTCATTAATCCGATATCAAAATTACCTTACCATCTGTATTAAATCACAAATACACTGAAGACACCATCCAAAGAACATTTTGTTAATGTGATGTGATCACTTTCATAAACTCCACCACAGCTCGCCTTGTGGCTGTTACTGTGTTTGCTAATGTCCATTAATTATTTATGGACATTTCATTTTTAATTATATATTTATTAAACGCCCTTGCGGTATGTACGCTAGTGATGAAATTTAGGCTAAAAAAAATACTCCGTGAGAGATAACATGGGTGGCTCTTAAAAGAGCCTTTGTGTTCCAGAAACAGACTAGAACGCGTCTACTTGGCTTTGGCGGGCTTCTCGCTCTTCTTGGGCAGCAGCACGGCCTGGATGTTGGGCAGCACGCCGCCCTGAGCGATGGTCACTCGGCCCAGGAGTTTGTTCAGCTCCTCATCATTGCGCACCGCCAGCTGCAGGTGACGGGGGATGATGCGGGTCTTCTTGTTGTCTCTGGCGGCGTTTCCAGCCAGCTCCAGGATCTCAGCGGTCAGGTACTCGAGCACAGCCGCCAGATAGACGGGAGCTCCGGCACCGACGCGCTGAGCGTAGTTACCTTTGCGGAGATGTCTGTGAACACGACCGACGGGGAACTGCAGCCCTGCTCTGGAGGAGCGACTCTTGGCCTTCGCTCTCGCTTTGCCGCCGGTTTTGCCTCTTCCACTCATGGTCAAAAGTAAAAATTTCTGCGCTTGTATTGCAAAAGTATTGAGCCCATGAGCTCCGCTCTACTGATTTTAAAGGAGCGTGCGAGTCGCCCATTGGTTTAGAGTCTGTAAGATTTCCAACCAATCACCGACCTTCCCTCCAACACTGACCGCCGAAGCCACGCCTCCTCAGCTGGCGGTCTGATTGTGCAGCGTTAAGAAACAACACGACAGAAAACATTCAAGACCTTGTTACGGTGTGTTCAAGTATTTTAAAATAATTTTTTGAACAATTCAGCGCGAACAATTATAAATAGTTTTAACCTAATTAAATTTAGATCAATGATCCATTAAAGCTGTTAATATTAATTTATGTGTATTACTTTGTGGCTTTTCTAAATACACAGTCAACATGTCAAACATTGAGTCGAGGTAAACTCAGATACACTCTTCTATTTTATTTTTTGTCAGCTTTTTATCTGCACTGTATAGTTAATATTTTAGGTCGTCTTGATGTCTACAAAAATGTTCTGATGACACTGAACTTGTGGATCTAATCAAACAAAATAATGATTTGGACAACAGAAGAGAGGTTCAGCTTGTTATATGGTGTGAATATTTTTATTTAATTTGAGTTGATCATTGATTTCAGAAGACAAGGACGCAGTAATAGCGAGACAATCCATGCTCAGAAGATAGAAATAGTTTATCTTGAAGAAGACAGAGTCCAGATGATTGTTTCTGAGGAAGTTAGATTGCACTGGTATCAGTAGAAAGCTCTTGTGTCTTCTATCAGATAATCCTGTGCAGTGCTCTGCTGGGAGATAATACCACTGGAGGATACACATAGTGATTAATACAATGATCAGAGGCCGGATCAATTATTGCTTTTACTCCAGATTCTCTTGAGGTTTTTGTGGAAAAGAGAAGAAGGGAAACATTGAAGGACATCCACTAGATGGTGTTTAGTTTAGTTCAGTTAGTGGGAGATTAGTAAAGCCTGTTCTACAGAACGATTTAGAAGCTATTTTATCCCTACTGCTGTGTGTAATGTGTGTGAAATAATTGTGTTGTATTCATTGCTGTTATTTATTGTGTTGCCTGCAGTTTACAACGCTGCTGAATGAGTTGCTGATGGATTGTGTTGTTTTTAAAGTACAATTAGTTTTCTTAACCTAACCTTAATAACACAAAGTGAACTGCTCTTTCTTTAGAGTTAGTGGGTGGCTCTGAAAAGAGCCGTTGTGGAATAAAACAGTGTTTTTACTTCTTCTTGGGAGCTGCTCTTTTCGGCTTGGCAGCTTTAGGCTTCGCCGTCTTGGGTTTGGGGCTCTTGGCTTTTTTGGGGCTCTTGGGCTTTTTGGGGCTCTTGGCTGCTTTCTTCGGCGCCGCGGGCTTCTTCGGCTTCTTGGGGCTCTTCGTCGTCTTCTTCGCGGCTGCAGCGGCGGGTTTCTTGGCCTTCTTGGGCGCCTTCTTAGCGGCGGGCTTCTTTGCCGCTGCGCTCTTGGGCTTCTTGGCAGCAGCGGGTTTCTTGGCCGCGGGCTTCTTCGCTTTAGGAGCCGCTTTCTTCGCCGGCTTCTTCTTGGTCTCGGTTTGCTGCTTGTTGAGCTTGAAGGAGCCGGAGGCGCCGGTCCCTTTGACCTGCAGCAGGGTGCCTTTAGTCACCAGGCTCTTGATGGCGAGCTTGATGCGGGAGTT